AATATAATTAAACATGGTCTTTAACTAAGGCCTATATACTTAACAAGTACTTGAATCAAATAAAATATAAAACGTGTTAGTTTTTTATGTTAGTGGAGTTTTAAATCCTGTTAAAATTAATATGGGAAATATATAATAAAATATTTATAAAGATCTAATAATGAATGTTTTTTTTCTTACCTCAATTTACTTCAATAAATAGTAACAGCTTTATTGGACGCCCAAGGTTCCAAAATACCCGCAAAAAAGGTCCTAAAAAGCACCCCGCTGACAGGTACTTTCCGAGTAACCCCCACCAAGTTTTTCCCCGCTTCCTTTATCGCTTTTCTTACCTGTAGACACCTTCAGCCAATTGGTAGGACAACAACAGCTACAAAGCAAAAAAAAAACAGGCCAAAAATTTATTCAACCATAAACAAGGAAAGTTTTTCCCATTTTCGCATACTCCGGAACAATTGTTGTCGAACGGTCGGTGGTCACGCCCCCTTGCCGCCCCCCAAACTGGGCCAGTGGCATCCGTTCGCAATCCAAAATGACAAATAACACGCAACAACCCATTTATTGCAGTGTACCGTACGGTATCCTTGCTTCCGTTTGCCGGCTGTGTGTTTAATGAGATTTGGGCCCGCACCAGTTGTTTGCATTTTTTACGACGCTTTGGCTCGACATTGCGTGTTTTCAGCGGATCGTCAGTGCAGTCCTTTGTTTTGTTATTGAAAAGCAATTAAGTCGGCTTTACTTTGTGAACCGTAAGCGGATCAATCTTGAAGTGAAACTATGTCCTTCTTTTTTTGGGGTCAATAACTCTTTAAAGCCTAGCCTGGTTTTCCAGACAGTGTTTCCAAGAAATTATACTTCTAATTTATTATGCTTGCGAGATATTTAGAAAATTGTAAACCAATTTGTTTTGGGATTTTCTAGCTTGACATGGCTTGCAGAAATTGTTGAACCTTTAAAGCGCCTAGGCGTACAACTTAAATTGCGTAGAAAAAACGGGCGAGATAAATTTGAAAATGTTACAATTCTCGGATTATGTGAGCTGACTGCTGTTTGCTTATCTTGTCAGCTGTTGCCTTGTGTTTGCTTACAATCAATCAATTACCAATGGCACGTGCACTCGTCTGGCTCCGCTGGCTCTGATTTGGCAAATAAATACCAGTATTTTGCCATTTCCATAGGCCAAAAATGCAAATGTCTAACCATACGAAAACATCAGCATAAATCAGTGCTGCTGTAGCCGTAGTCTGTAGCTGCCGGCTTATCCGACCTTCGCTGAATAATTTAGACTGTTCCACGTGGCAGTCGGACATTTAGACACACCAGAAAAAAAATATAATGATATCAGATCGTGTGATAAGAACAGATTCATTTAACTAATGAACCACTTCAAAGGGTGGAGTGAATTGGCACACACTTTTTTATTTCTAATCCCTAAAGAAAGCATTTTAATTAAATCCCTGGCCATTCCTCATCCAAAATAGCGGGAAACCCTCGGCCCTTTCACTACCTCTACAGCGAAAACTTGCGCAATTGAATATTCCGTTTTTGGCCCCCAACTGAGGCGTTGGCCATAATTAAACCATTTGTCAACTTTGTTGACAGCGACTTGAGTTTGTTTGTTCTACGCGGCACACGAACAGAAAAAAATCTATTGCGATCTGGGCTTTTTTGCGCATTTATGGAGGAACATTAGACACAGGTTGCGTGGGTGATTTAAAAAAAGATATCTACAAAGTTCCCAAGAATTTGATTAATGATTTAGTTCTGTAATATTATTTCCAGCTTATATTTGGCTTCTTAGCCCAATCAATCATAGTCAAGTGGCGAGAAATTTTTTGAGTTTTAACAATTTTCTTATAGTGGATATTCGAAAGTACTTCCCTGACACTCTAGCATTTGACAAAAACCGAGCTTGTATACAATAAGCACATGTTGCGAGGGCGTCAAGTGCCGCAGCTGTCAATGGCTTTCGGCTAACGACTTGGCATAAATATCCGCCGGCAACACTGCGTATAAGTAATATGTAGAAATGGCTCTGCAGCACGATAAAATAAGAAAAGCGTGACCCACAAATTTCGCGGAAGCGTGTCATGTTTTTACATAATATGAATACCTTTCATGAAGCGTAAATTACAGAAAATGGTTCATAGTAATAATACAAATCTGGTTAAATCTGGAAATAATGATAGATTTGAGGAAAGCCTTTTCACAACCACATTTCAACCAAGGTTGGCCAGAAAACAGTCCCATGTTCAGATTTTCCAGCTGGAATCCATCAAATTTTGACATGCAATTATTTGGCCAACACGTTCACACATTGGGAGAGCATAAATTAGCCGGTAATTAGAGTGGGGTCATAGCAGAAGTCAGTACCTTTTCATTTTTGTTTTTTTTTTCGCAACCCTCCCGGCTATTATGCTAATTTTTTCTTGCCTTTCTGCTTGGCCACCAACTGGCGCACACATTTTGACCATTGTTAAACAGCCGAAAATTTTCACAGCCAAGGACTTGTGGCCCTGAATTTTTCGGCCTTGATGTGCGCTTAATACAATGAAATTTCTGGCAATTGCATTTGAAACTCGCCAGGGGGATGATTTTATAATTAAAGCTACTGACGATGATTTTGCGAAAATTGGTGCGGAATATTTACATATTTTGTTGGAGGGATTTTTAATTTGATTTTTCGGCCAGAAGGCCCACTAGCGGTTTCATAATTAGCTTTTCCGTAGTTTTATGGTCAGTCAGGGCTTGCTCATTTACTGAAAAAGTTTTTCTTGCTTGAGTGTTAAATAAGTGGAATAGTTTTCTTAATGGTTGATTTATTGTTTTGCTGGTATTTGTTAAAGGGATATCTTTTCTTTAACTTATTGTAAAACATTCATGGAATTTGGAAGTTGAATTGGTTAGTTATAATATATATTCAAATGCCACACAACTTCTGTATTCCGTACGTTAAACTATTCAACAAGTTAACAACACCAAAGTGACCCCAAAATGACCTAAATTCATGGAAAAGTTTTGCTGTTGCCCAACCACAAACTTTCCATCGGTCAATGTGTGATGAAAAGAGGGAGTCAGGGGATTTAAGGGGCTAGTTTCATTCTGCACGTTTGTCCTTTGACCCTTGGTTACTCGTGTTCCCAAACCCTTTGATTACATTTTCGTTTATATCGCTTATTCCATCCTTTCCACACTTCCTATCCGACTTCCCCCTTCCAGTCTCTTGGCATTCTAAAAAGAGCTGCAAATTTAGTTTGCTTGCATTTTTTGTACACCTCAAAAAATATACGGGTAACATATATAATGCAAGAATCTTAATATTTATATAAATATTTATAAAATATTATTAGTGTTGATATAAAATCAACTGTCTTGAAAAACATATAGCAATGGGTTTCTAGTAACTGCTTCTACGCCAAAAATAATTTTTATAAATGCAATTTAAATTGATCATCATTTTTTTCATTGCCCTTACATATAAAGTGGGAATTGGCCGCATAGCTAGTGTGGGTATGAGTAGACAACCGTATCAAATAACCATTCATACATTTTCAATGGCATTTAACTGGCCAAACCATGTAAAAGATGGACTCTATTGATTCACAGCTAGTGTTTTTATTTCATTTCATCGGCTTGTGTCTGCAAATTGTAAATACAATTTGGGATTTACAGATGGGCCCCAAAATGTAATTTAAGGCAAATACCAAAGCTTCTGTGTATTGAATTGCAACCATAAATTGGTTTGTAATTGCATTTTGGGCAGACAAAATATTATTACAAGGCCAAATCTTGCAAAATTCCATAAGCCCACAATTGAATGCAGAAGCCTTTAATCTAGTTCGATTGACTTTGCACCTTTACGAAATTGTATCCTGAAAATTCTTTTATTTCTTGCCAACGTGTCCAACTAAATGTCTCATAAATTAACTTATAGAATATAAAAAAATAGCCAATTTCGTCATCGTCAACGTTTTATATCATTTGCATAATTGAGTTCGTTTAGTATACAATCATATAATCAGCTTAATTGTATGTAGATTTTTTGCAATTTTCATTGAACAGGAAAAAAGATTAAATGAGCGCCAATTACGAAATTACGCATTTATGGAGGCCTTAAATTAATGCAATTTTAGGGCCCTATTTCAGCACAATTAATACAAAGAAATTATGCAAGCCAATGGCTGGCTGGGAGATTAATGCCTCGCCCACTCAGGATTCGGTGGTCCTTTATCAAAATTTATGGCAGGACCCTCGGGACAGTTGCATGAATGATGAACACTTAGCATTTTGTAATTTTGAATTTCGCTCTGACGTCGCAATCGATTTCGCCTACTTCCGGGGTTTTAAGGACCCTCATCCCCTACAATCCATGTCATATATCATATCTATAGCTCGATCTTTGTCCAGAAACTTTTGGCCATTAGCAGCTACGAATTGGGTCATCAGTTCTCGTCCTTTTTATTTGTTTCTGTGCGTGTTCCACTCCCTCTCGAACGCTGTTGACAAATTCGCTTCTCCCCTTGATTAAAATTACAATTAATCAACGCCCTTGACGCTCTCAGCGTTGCCATTTGCTTTTTAGTCACTTTTTACTGCCATTTGTGCGTTTATTTTATTCGTCCTTATGCCAACTCGGTTGACAGAAGGACCCATGGAAATCGAGTGCTTGATGTTTAAGTGCCAATCACTGGGTTTTTGCTAGCAGTAAATGTCCCGAAAATTAAATTGAACGACGAAGTGTAATAGCGATTCGAGACAGCCAAGTGCAACCCATTGCATACTTAAAGTCATCTAGAAAAGGGATTTGATGTAAATGAATTTTAATGAAAAATCCAGTGATCTCCCTACAACGTTGGATTTTGTATACCACAGAACCACATTACACATGAATTTTTCAGACTTCCCTCAGATATTTATGGGCAATGAAATTCCTCGAAAGTCTTGACAAACCCTTTCGAGGATACTTACATTAATTAATTTATTAAAATCCACAATATCTGTTACCATCGAACAAACCATTTATTTCCATAGAAAAAGAAATCAAATCTCATACCATCCGAAACGTTTTATAAATATTTCTTAAACAATAGTTAGACTATAGATAATTCGTTTTCTGTTTGGTATCTGAAGATGCTTAGCACTTACATAACTATTTAAGGGTCGAAACTTAGTCACGTATATCACTTATCAAGTGTGGTCACAAAATGTGGCAGGCTGCTTCCAGGGCGTCCCTATAGGGAGTACCCCTTAATTTTCCAGCAGAGCGAAGTCTCGGCAGAGGGGCTCTCGATCCGCAAAGACAACGCTGGCGGGAAAATTGGGGAAACAGCGCTGGACAATTTGTTGCGTTAATTGGTCTGTACATGGTAGTTAAATATTAGTGGGTAGTAGGATAATTTACAGGGTATAAAAAAGGGGTGGTTGTGAGGACCTCTCACAGCCAAAGGGCATCGATGGCATCTTCCACATCCTCTTCCGCCGGACTGGGCGGCTGTTCACTGACCAAAACAGCCTTGGCTTTCACCTCATCGGAGCTGCTAAGCAATACCATTAACAGGACACTACTGCGTCTTTTGGCCAGCTCTATATCCTGGTGATCAGTGGCGGGTTCAGTGTCCCCCCTGGCCTTTTGGTTACGCAGCTTTCGCAGCCAATCCGTGGTGGGCCAGATGCACTTGGTGCCACTGCCACTGCGACGCCTTCGATGGTGGTTAGTGGGCATGGTGGCCCCCTTCTGGACCGGCTGGTGGTGCAGTTTCTCCACCAGACTGATGTCGTTAGTGGAAACAGCAGCATCGGGACATCCATCAACTTCAGGCACTGATGGTGCCAGTGGCAGTACCACCGATGCAGCTACTCCTCCTCCTGCTCCTCCAAATCCTCCTCCTCCGCCGGCTGCGGTTGACATGCCCGCCCGGCCGCTGCTTTCCTGCTACACATTTGTCACTTGGGTCGTCAGCCCGAGATCGATGGCCATGCTCTTGCTAACGGCATCCGTGTGCAGCAGTCGCTGGCGCCCATATCCGCCCAGGCCGCCGCTTCCGCCCAGCCTCCGCCCGTCGGCGTCGTGCTGCGACAGCGGCAGCCATTTGTCCAGCCAGCGCGGCCGGAAGAGCAGCGCGAACGTGCTCCGGAACTGGCGGCTCATCGAGCAGTACAGGATGAAGTTGATGCTCGAATTAATAAGCGCCAAGATGTCCATGAGGTCACCTGAAACGGGGGAAACAAAATCGAAATGCCATAAGTGCCCGGACATCATCAACACTCCATCTGTGGGCGGGGTTGCACAGGGGGTCAGTCTAGGTTCAAGGCCAAATAGTTTTTATAGTCCCTTACACTAAGGAAAATATATCACAAATAATTGACCTTTTCTAGAGATAACTATTTTATAGAATCAAAAATATTACCAGGCTAATTAAAGTTAAAATAAATATATTTTATATCTTTAATATCCACGCTAAATACAATACTTTGTATAAATACTATTAAAAAAACAAAAACATTTATATTTTCGAAAAAAAAATAACACTAAATTTTGAATATACAAAATAGTAGTTGCATTTTTAAAAACTTTTTAATTTTCCCCCATTAAATACCAATTTAAATTTATTTTTAGGTGTACTGCCTAAACAAAATGTACTTTACTCCTTGAACATGTCGGGGCCAGGCGAACATTGAAGCCTCAAATTTGTGGTGCAATTATGGTAGTCAGCGGTGCGTATGATTGATGGCTGTGCCAAACGGGCCCACGAAAACACCAGCCATAAATTCACTCAATTATCATAGCCAATAAAGCAATTACGGTTTACAGACAACTAGGAGAAGAGGGTTTCCTAATCTTGGGCTACTCACTCAGCTTTAGGTAGCACTGGATGAAGAAGGCATCGCCAAGCAGGACATTCAGCAGACCCATGATGCCCTGCGGAAATTCGGTGACCAGGAAGAGTAGCAGCACGGCCAGGAGCATCCTCGTGGTGCGATCCGTCTGCTTCTCCTTCTCCAGCAACTTGCAGCTCTTGGGTTGAGTGGGGGTCACCACTTTTCCATTGACAATCGGCTGCATATCGTTGGCCGCATGGCAGGCCAGGATTTTCCGTCTTCTCTTGGCCTCCAATAAGGCTCCTATTAACCTTACAGACAGGATAGTCAGTGCAAAGCAGGGTATCAACTTGATCAGCACACTATATATCAGGAAAGTGGCATTCCGGAACTGGCGATCATGTAGCGCCAAAGCACTATGATACAGCTTATAGACGGTGACATTTCGCTCACCCAACGCCGCCGAGGAAGTGGTAATCCCCGAACTAACGGTCGTCAGAGGTATCACTGTGGTCAGGCTGAGTAAACTAACTGCTGTTCCATTACCCGAGCCACTTGGTATCGCCCAGGAAACATCTGGCGTCGTACTGGACATGACCTGCATGGTCACCTCCTCCTCATGATTGTAGTCCAGGATGTACTGACTCAATGGAACCGAAGCAATGGTCTTGCCATCGGCATCCAAGGTTTCCAGGAACTTGGCAATGGCCGAGACCAAGTAGAGCCACGGGGACACCACCAGGACACACACCACATAGGCTGTGGCTATGGTTATCAGGGTAGTCCGCATTCCACACCAGATCCGATTCCTCTGCGGATAACTCACCGCGATATAGCGCCAAACAGCCAGGGTGACTGTCAGCCAAATGGAGATGGTGTGCAGAACTTGGGGAAACACCGAGTGGAACTTGATGAAGCAGGCCCAACTGTAGCTCAGCTGCTCCTCCCTCGGCATCCGGGCACTGAGGATATAGTCGTGCACCGTATAGGGTATGTACTCCAGCATCACGGCCAGATCGGCCACCGCCAGACCCGTGAGTATGGCATTTGTGGGGGAGCGCATCTCGCGGCGGGTAAGCACAATGATGTTCAAGGTATTTGCAATGGTGCCCAGGATACACACAATCAGGGAGAAGTAACCATGGAAGTATTTGTAGCTGTTCGGGAGAAAGGGGAAAAAAGCAAGGCTTTAAGTCACTGGAGAAAAATAAACCATTTTGTATAGTCTCAAAATAAAAAGCTTATATTATTCCTTTTTCTGTGTTTCTTTTAAAATAAATATCAATTTGATGTGAAATTAAACTGACAAAAGTGGAGCAATAATAATAAAAAAATGTTCCTCAGACCTGTCTCCCGCATATATAAATTCCATAACTTGAGTTAATTTATCCCGCTTTAGACGTGGGATACCTCTATGAGTTTGTGGTTGAATTTTCTAATATCCTACATTAAAATTGATGTTAAGAACGAGAGTTCAAATTTTGACCCATTTTCATGTCTGATTTTTCCGTATATCTAATGGCTTCCAGGATGGGAACCCAAAACTACACTTCTAGACTTCATAACTCGAGTTTTTCGAGCCCGATTCAAACGTGGGATACCTCTATGAATTTGTGGTTGAATTCTCTAATATTCTGCATAAAAATTTATGTATATAACGATGGTCTAAATTTTGACCCATTTTCATGTCTGATTTTTCCGTATTTCCCATGGTTTCTAGAATGGGTACCCAAAACTGACCTTATAGACTTCATAACTCGAGTTTTTCGAGCCCGATTCAGACGTGGGATACCTCTATGAATTTGTGGTTGAATTCTCTAATATTCTGCATAAAAATTTATGTATATAACGATGGTCCAAATTTTGACCCATTTTCATGTCTGATTTTTCCGTATATCCCATGGTTTCCAGAACGGGTACCCAAAACTGACCTTATAGACTTCATAACTCGAGTTTTTCAAGCCCGATTTAGACGTGGGATACCTCTATGACTTTGTGGTTAAATTCTCTAATATTCTGCACTACAATTTTTGTATAAAACGAGGGTCCAAATTTTGACCCACTTTCATGTCTGATATTTCCGTATACCCATGGCTTCCAGATTGGGTACCCAAAACTGCACTTTTAGACCTCATAACTCGAGTTTTTCGAGCCCGATTTAGACGTGGGATGCCTCTATGAAGTTGTGGTTGAATTCTCTAATATTCTGCGTTAAAATTTATGTATATACCGAGGGTCCCAATTTTGACTCATTTTCATGTCTGATTTTTCCGTATTTCCCATGGCTTCCAGAATGGGTACCCAAAACTGCACTTCTAGACCTCATAACTCGAGTTTTTCGAGCCCGATTTAGACGTGGGATACCTCTATGAATTTGTGGTTGAATTCTCTAATATTCTGCATTAAAATTTATGTTAAAAACGAGGGTCCAAATTTTGACCCATTTTCATGTCTAATTTTTCCGTATTTCCCATGGCTTTCAGAATGGGTACCCAAAACTGCACTTCTAGACTTCATAACTCGAGTTTTTCGAGCCCGATTTAGACGTGGGATACCTCTATGAACTTGTGGTTTAATTCTCTAATATTCTACATTAAAGTTGATGTTAAAAACGAGGGTCAATATTTTGACCCATTTTCATGTCTGATTTTTCCGTATTTCCCATGGCTTCCAGAATGGAATGCTTAAATTCTCTAATATTCTTGATTTAAATCTTCATTCTCGGTTCTTATGTTTATATTAAAATTCAAAAGTTACCGCAATGTATAAAAATTAAGTCGACAATATTTAAGTTTAGTATGAAATTTATGTGTAAGATTTAAATTATGCAAACTAAAGAAATTCGTATAAAGAATAGCAAAAGCCTTGAAATGAAGTCATCCATGTAAATTGCCTACTCAGATAGAAACGACAAATTAAAGATAAATAAAGCTGGCCTCAGACAAAGTATTCCTTCTACAATTTATCAGAGAAAGCCACGGCTTGTGATATACAAAAAAATATTAATGTCTTTATTTTGTTAAATCTTCCATGAAAAATTAATTCTGCTTTCCACCCACAAATACCAATATTGTGGGAATTTTTCCCCAGTATTTGTTAAGCCAAAGGTTAGGCCCTGCCTTCCCGCATTAGATGCACTTGGTTAGCCTTTTGCCACCTTGGCCGTAGGCAATTACACACATGATTTCATTATGTGCGCCCTGGATGGGTGGCAAATCATTATGCAAATTACATTTAAAAAAGTAATTAACATGCAGACATCCCCGGGGCGTAGAGCCCATGTCCTCGCTGTACTCACTTTGTGTGGAAGTCATCGATGCCTGTGCCGCAATAATGCGGCTGCGACATGTTCGTGACCATGGTGTCAATGATGAGCTGGTTCTGGTCCGGTGGTCAGATGGTCGTCGGCTGGCGGGATGTTCTGGCTCCTGGACTCCGTTTGATTGACCGCCGTGTCCTCTCCGGCTGCCCAACTCACTGCCCCCCGTGGCGCCTCTGTCGTTTCATTAAAATTCCCCTTTTTCGGAAATTCCAGCTCTTAAATATGCAAGCTGCGTGGCGAAAATGCTACCTGCAAATGTACAAAAGGCGTTAGTTGAATAAAAAATGAATTCTCTGTCGTTCTTCGATTGGGTTTAATTTTAGCAGAATTTAAGCTTTGGAATTCCCAAGATACCAGGGCATTGCATGCCACATGCAAGTGGCGAAGTTCAGGGCAGGTCAAAAGTATCATTCCAAATGAATCAACAAAGAAAAGTCATTACCATTCGGGCGAAGTGGTCAGAGAACAAGGCCATGGCTCGTAATCAATATTACGCATACGACCAGTGGCCCAGCCGAAGCAGATGATTTCAGCAATTTGTGGGCAAAACGATGTAGCAGGAGCAGGCAAGAGACTGGCTTACAAGGTACACTTAGGCAAAATATTGACTAGAAACGAAACATTCAGAACTTTTATATTTAATTTTTGAACTTTAGGTTTAGAAAAGTGGCTCCAACAGTTTAATTTTTGTACAAGCTGTTGATAAATACAATGTTGATAAGTACAATAAATACAATACATATAAAATAATATAAATGTTCCCATAAGTTTTTTCACTGAGTGTAACACTCTGGGTCCCACACGAATTCCTCGTCGACGTAATTCCATTAGACAAATGAGGAAATATGGAGAATGCCCAGCGCTTCAAAGGAAAATATCTTCACTTTTGCTCTTTGCACGACCACAGTTGCAGCTGCATTGTGCCTGTAACATTTAATTAAAAGTAACTTTCTCTCTGTCAGCTTTCCGGAGTGTTCTGCTTTTATCCGGCAATAAATCTGTACAATGAAAATTGGCCCAAATGTTTTGGCAGCCTTGAAGTGATAATAAAATCTTTCCATTTCCCATTCATATTTGTCCTGTTCTTGTTCTTTTTTTGTTTGTGATTTCAAGCACAAAATCTGGTTCTTGGTTTTGTAAGCCGGACTAACTTCCATTACAGTGATTAAGTCTTTTGGCTGGGGGATTTTGGCCTAGATTGGACTTATGCCATGTGACTTGGCAGGGCATCCTGCGATGCTGACTGGCAAAAAATGGGCAGGATAAGCATTTTTGTCTGAGCCCAAGTAATTATAAATGGTATATTTGACCCTGAAATTGATAATTAAACCTTGTCATGCATATTGAATTAGCAATAAAGTAACACAATTTCGGTATTTCGGGGAAACTACTGCCTTTAAGGCGGGGCCTCAAATGTTTGGCTAATTCCAACATGCGGTCAGGGCTTATAATTGAATTGGATTTTGTGGCAGGGTACAATGCAAACACGCAGTAGTAAAGCAATAAACAAATGTCCCACTGTCTCATTTGGTGGCCACTAATGTAACTAATACGCACCGTATGCCGCCCATTACGGAAGTTTTCGGGAACTTCGGTGGGTTGGGTCCCATGTATCATATATAGGGTGGGCTACCAGGCTACCAGTGTCAAGTGCCTGCTGACCAAAGGACTAAAGGCCGTTAAAGTTGCGGCCAGTCACGTAAATGCGAGGACTTGTTGACTATGACAGGAACAGCGAAATAACTTAGGGGGTGTTCGGGGGAGAGGTTGTAGGTTTGAGGACCCGTCTTAAGTGCCTGGCAATGGCAGCTGACAACAGGCCAAAAAGAGGCGGGGAGGGGTCTCCAGAGGTCTTCAGACAAGGAACAACACTTGCCGCTTAATAGACAACACCATACAACAAAACATCCATTTAAACGATCTAATGATGCCATCGCCAGCTGCATTATTAATACCACCCCTCTGTTCAACTTAATGGAATCACATAATCATCCCCATCCCAATATCCACTCCCTCCAACGCCTCATTTTAATTACAGTGCCACGCCCCCTTTGACAGTTGAACAACTGCAAATGTCCATACAAAGTGAGGTTTGATTGTGGCTTGTCCATTAACCAAACACGGTGTTATAACGACTACATCCGATTATCTGCCAATTGTATCGGCGGTAATGTGTTTAAAGTAGAATGGTTTTATGAATAGGTTCAAGAGTTATAGAAAAAGTCTGGATTAAACAGTTATAACACTTTTATATTACAATAAAAGGTTGTTAAATATTTGGTATAAAGACTATGAAAAAAACCTATAAGACATCTATAATAATGTGTTATTTAAAAGATTAGTTTTAATATTTTTTGTAAGATCCTAAAGTATGATATAGCTTCTTATGTGTAATAATAATAACACTAGAATATAATGGGACACCATTATATAAATATTTTTTGAACATATTCATATGAAATAAGCTTCACTGGTTTTAAATGTACTGATTTTTCTCTTTCCCCGATAAAACCACACTACACCCAAGTTCATTGTATTTTTTTATGTACCCAACGAGCTGGGCTCAACCATTTTCCGGCCAAGTACAATTACATCTTTGGCCTGTCCTCGAGGCAGGACCTCACAAGCCAACTGAATATCCCTGTTTTCCTTTTGGCTTTCGGCCATATAATGAGCATGAATCTAGTGCTGTGGGAGTGTATGTAGTCTCTGACCCCCTCGGTGGATGTTGAGGGGAATGCCATCATGTGAGCTGGCTCATTTCGCTGGCCGGAAATACTTTGCCAGGATGGAGGGACCAGAAGAGCCCGGGAGAGCCCTTGATGTGCGGTTAGCAGCGCTGTGAATTTATGAAACGAAAAGCTCTGGCACACATTTTCAGCATTCCGGGCAATCACTGGGGAGGGCTGTGGAAAATTATGCCAAAAGGTAACAACGACCACGTGCAGCTGCCCGGGCTCACTTAAAGTTTAGATTTTTTGTTTTTTTTCGGCTGCCGGAAATCCGGTTTTGTAGCTCGCACGCACAGATTTTAAACATTTGAGTTTCCACTTAGTGGAAAGCTCCCTTTCCCCCTGGAAAAAGGGAGAAAAAATGAAGGAAGCCGCAATAACGAAACCGGAAGCCATCATCAAGGACGCTGAAGGGGCGATGGCAGCCACGACTAAGCGCGTATAATTGAACACTTGTCATGGGCCCAGGCGGCGTATGGCCAATATTCCGAAACAGGCAATCAACATCCGGTACACCTTAAAAAAACTGGTCGGTGGTCACGAAGGGGCCACAAAAATCAATACATTTTGAAATTACTTAATGAAGTGTCTAAAAGTATGCAGCAAATTATAAAATGTCGAAATGTATTACTGCCCACTTTTCGACACCTTTAAAATTAATCGAGTTTCCTATTAATTGACAGACTTATTGTTATAGCATGAGTAGCTTTTTCTTACTGTGTAACTCCACCACAAACTACTTTCGTTTGAAATGGAATTTTTCCAGCCATCAAAACACAATCAGAAACAAAATCAAATATGACTTGCCGCTTATGCACGAATTGCAGAAAATTTGAAAAATCATTTCACTGGCAACTTTTTTTCTTGTTAAGGATGTGGCCAAGGGGCGACTTTCTAATTCTCCATTTTCCACTTGTCATTTTCCCATTCCATTTTCTCCATCCGCTTGGCAATTTTGTTTTGACCTCTGCATGTGGAAATTGCTTGGCTTCTCTGGCTGCCTAATTGCTGTGGCTTGTTGCGAAAATTTCCCACTTCGACATTATTTTTGTACGATTTTTCTGTTAACTTCCTTGGCGTTTGGTGTATGTTTCGGCACTTCTTCGATTGACCCCTCCGAAAAGTTCTCACCACAGTTCTCCTCGGTTAAACTCTGTGCTGATGAAGGTCTCCATTTATACGGGCAATACTTGCTGCCAAAAGTTTCGGCTCTTTAAGCTGGAGTTTTTTTCGGGAACTAATATCTCCATTATTGAGTGGGTCCGCTTCAATTAGCCGGGTAATTCTTTCAAAGTTTGATTGACAGCTGCCGCTTATTGATTTGGGTCCCTAAGCGACTGAAGATAAGATTGAAGGGCATTAGGAAACGTCTTTGCACTGACACATATGCTTATCTGTTGCCCAAGACACTACTTTCCCATCCTGAGGGCTCTTAAAAGCTTTCTGTATTGCTACAATTTTGTTTGTTCTTTCATATTTTTAGCCTCCTTTTTTGATGGAACGGTTTGATTCCTACGCTTTTTCCACGTTATTTGCTGTGCCTCTTAATTCAATAAATGTATTGTGCAGAGAAAGAAATATCTGTATGATTCTAAAGAAAAATGTTTAAGAGGGCAAAGATTTTAGGTATGGCCGGAATAAAATATTTTAAAAATAAAAAAATATTATTTAAATAGATCCCTTTTGTTTTTTTTTCCGAGTGAAATTGTACCAATTACTTGGCCTGGCTTGCCATTGTGTTTGTGGCTATTTGCCCATTGATTTCACGCTGGCTTTATCGAAACCGAAACCCCTCGCTGACTCGGTCTATAAATGTGGGTTTTTGTGGGCGGAAAGTGTCAACATGGCGAGTGTCAACGATTTCGCCGGCGCCTCACTCAAATATTTGCCCAGTTAAGGCGCCCCGAAAGTCTGCGCCCAAACATGAGCGCATTTCGTAATTAAGCATTCACAAAACGCTTTGGCTCAGCGGGTGCAAATATAGGGGCATTTTTCGGGTTGATAGGGACAGTATTTGTGGAGGAGGAGGTGGTCCAGGGATCACCAACAAACATGTCAACGGCTGTCCGTCACTTGACAATCAGGCAGACGCAGCGGAAAACAGAGGACACTGCTGCATATTTAAGGGGAAAGTCTTCAGAATCCCTTTTGTGTCAGCAGTCACGTGTAGTGCTGAAAGCACAGATAATTTCTTTTTATATATGGATTGTTTTAAAGGTAAAAATGTATGCAGTTTAATTATTTAAAACCTTGAATAAATTCTGTATTTTTCATGATCAGTTGCCGGAACAGAACACAAATTGATGGTATCCCGTCAGCTCTTCACTCAGGTCAAGGTAATTACTGGTCTGTTTAGGCCACAACTCGAGTTTGCAGCCAACTTTCCCGGCCATTGTTCTGTGTTATTTTGCACTGATTAGTTTCCTGCGCATTTTCACCCTCCACCTTTTCAGGTATTTTAGATTAATTAAAACTGTTGACAATGGCGGGCCACATTACGTAATTGCCCTCGGCTGG